GTTGTGCTTTTCAGCTGGAGGCACAGTGGGAGGCAGGGACCCCCATCACCCCGGGGGGATGTGTTTCTTTTTTTTAAGGGGGGTCCTGCCTGCCCCATCTCACCTGGAAGACTCTGGATGAGGAGCGAGGGGCTGCTCGGAGCACAGAGAAATCCCTGAAAGCCGGGGGGGGCTGCGGGGAAGGAGCCCTCCGACGGGCAGGCTCAGCCCCGAGGGTCAATCTTCAGCAGAAAATCCTCCCCCAAAAAGGGCAGATCTAAAAGAACCACAGCCAGTTCCCTTCCCACTGGAAGCAGGAACATCCTTCCACTCGCAAACTCGTTTTTTTCCAGCACTTTCCTCCCCAAAACGCTCCCGCAAAAGAGCTTCAGGCAAACCCAGCACCCGCAGCGGAGCCCCGCACCCGCCTGCTCCTTCAGGAATGTGCCTGGTGACACAGGGCCCTGCTAAAAAACACTTTTTAGGGTGGAAAATCTGGCCAGATACGTAAGAGCCACGTGCCTGGAGCTTTTATAACCACTCAGGTGGTCCCCACCCCGCACACAGCAGGTCCCACCCAACGCAAATTAAGGATGATTTATTTTTTTCTCCTCTTCTTTTGGCGCCAAGGAGGTCGATGCCGAGCTGAAAACGGCCACGCGAGAAGCCTGTCCTGGTTTATCTGAATTTCAAGCTGTAGGAGCGAGCTGGGTCAATTCCCCACCTTGAAAGAGGCTGCAAGGGGGAGGGGGGGGGGGGTCCACCGAGCACAACACCGCTGGCGACCCCCCAACCACCTCCGACACAGCCGAGGCTGCGCCCGCCCAGCTGCAAAAGGAGCTTTTCCGCAGGTGCTTTCTGCGCTTTGGTGGTTTTTACGGTCCGGTTCATTGCTCCTCCGCCTCCGGTTGCTGACAGAGGGTGGAGGACAGCGACAACCCCTGCAGAATTCAAGGTGGGACAGAGGAGGCTATAAAATTTTTCCTCCCCGATCAGCAGGATGAGAGGGAGCATCCTTCAGAAGCGACTTGGGAAGCCAGGGCAGGCAGGGTGCAAACAGCAGGTGCTCCTCCCCACAACAGGAGCTGGGGGGTCACCAGCACGAGAGGATGGAGCCACCTCTTCGAGATCTCACCCACCTCCACGAATACCATCACTTGCTCCACTCATCCAGCCTCAAAACAAAAGCTCGGGACCTCTTCCACCTCCAAAGAGCAGATCGAGGCCCTCCCTTGCCCCTAGGTGTGAAGGAACTCTAGGAACAGCTTTATTTTACCCAGATTTCAAGAGAAAGATGTTAACTACAGTGAACCTTGGGATCTCATCCAGCACCATCAGCCCCAGGCTGGCCCTGACCACACTCCAGCTCCCCTCCCTGCCTGTCTTGGCGCAAGGAGAGGTGGGGCAGGACTCCGGGGAGGCTGAGGAGCATCTGCCACCTCCAGGTACAGACCGACAGGAGGGTCCTGAGCCGCTGCAGCTCACCCCAAGCACATCAGCGCGACACCACCGTGTCCAAGCATCCCCTCCCCGAGGACCTCTCCTCTCTCATTTCAGGCCCCAAAGCCTCACTGCTGGGCTCAGCCCGGGGAGGGCTCGTCCCTGCCGTGCACAAGGTTCAAGTAACAGCAGGAGCCCGGGCGGGTTGCTGGGAGAAACCCTCCCGAGGACCGAATACACGGAATTCAAGTATTGTCCCCAAAGCCTGGCTGCAGCTCTGAAAGCCACAGAGCCCTCCCCACCTCACGGGGCGCTCCTGGAGGGGAACGCAGGGGATGCGGCGGCGGCAGACGGCGCTCCCAGGTGCCAGCTGCTCTCCAGTCCGGCTGCTTTCCCTTTCCAACCCCAGCCTGCGCCTCTGCATCCCAGACTGGGGCGAGGAAGGAGGGAAAACGTCCTCTGCCACCACACCAGGGACAGGACCAGCTTCCCCCAGCGCTGGCGAGAGTTGAATCACAGCTCCACGTGCCCCGCAGGCCACCACCCATCCACTCTGGGGTCTCTTTTTGGAGAGAAGCTCGACAGGAGACACACACACACCAGGCACAGGGTTGGGCACCTCAGGCATCAGACCAGGGCTGGCTCTTGGGAAGGTTTTCCTTTCCAGAACATAAAACTGGAAGATTCCAATCCCCGGCACACGGACTGATGAGAGGCAGCGGGGCCGGGTGCACAGATCTTCACAAAATTCATGTTTCTCCTGCACGAGCACATACGTTTTCCCCCCGCTCTGTGCGTTTGAGTCGAAGCGGCTGCGTTTGTTTGCAGACTCTGCCGACGTCTCGCTCTGCAGCCGAGGGCAGGGAAGGCAGCGGCGGCCACGGAGGGGCGAAGGGAACTGCAGCCTGGAGGAGTTCTGGTTTCCCCGAGGGTCAGGATATGTTTTTTTCAGCTCCTCCTTCCTGATAACCCAAAGTCGGTAGCAAGTAGTGTCCCATGAGGTATTTCTACAAGTTTTTGAAGCTTGGTTGTTAGTTTCATCTGGAAGCCAAATCCTTTTCAAAAAAAAACCAACATAACCCCAACAAACGACAACGCATTTTTTTTTCTCCAAGACCAAAAGTGAGGCTGGAGGTGATGGCGAAGAAAGGGAGGGCAGGATTTGTTAGCACCCGTCGTAGCAAGAGGCAGACAGTCAGAATTTTTCCAGGCTGCCTTAAGACCCGCGTGTCTGTGTTGAATTTAGGGACGTAGAGGATTCTGTAGGGCAAGACTAAAGTCCCAAGGGACTGCAGCCAGCTCGCAGGGCACCAGCCTTGGATCCAGGGACATGGACCACGCACAGCACCGCGTTCCCAGGATGGAGCGTTTCCTTCACTGGAGCTGAGCACAGGGACGTTGGGCTCGGTCAAATACAGGAGGAAAGGAGCTTTCTCCAGACTTCACTTGGGGCAAACTTCATGCTTCACCATGAAATGCAAAACTCTTGGCAGTTGCTCCAGTGGGTGAAGGAGCAGACCAGGGTTTGAAGGGGCAGAGGGGCAATTTCAGCCAGTGCCAAGCACAGAAACGCAGCAAGAGCCATCACCTCTCTCGGCTTCACTCTTTCTTAAGGGCTGTGGTTCCACAGACAGCCCAGGGAATGAAGGGAGCAGCAAGCAAGCTCACAGAGATCTGATGTGTTTCCACGAGGACCTTCAGTCATCTGCTCCCTGCTCTGAGTCACCCCAGAGATGCCTCTTAATGCCCCCACAGCAACTCCCGACCGAGATCCTTCGCAGCTCAACGACAAACCGCGCCGTTCACAGCTTCTGGGCAGAGCCAGAGAAGAGGCTCGAAGTGCACGTCCTGCAGCTCTGCAGGACTGAGATCACTGCAGCAAGTGCCTTTGGTCCGCAGGCTGCTGCGACAGCCACGGCGACAGCTCTGGCCCCCTCCTTCCCACCC